AATGTGAAGATCTGTAGCATGTGTTCAAAATGGGGTGGTAATTTGGAAGCCAGATGAAACATTTCCATGTGTTTCAATTTGTTCAGTGGTTTCATTAACAGAATTTCAGTCATCTGTGTATGTAAAAGTTAGAGCTGAATCTTGAGGTAGTAGATCATATTATATTCCTTGTGTAACCTGAGTGTTTGAGGCAAAGACCATGACAGAACAGTCACTGAAATAGATGTTGAGAAGATCAAATAAACATTTATTTTCTTAAACTCTAGATTTTGTTTGTTTGTTTTTTAAGTAGAATGGAATGGAGAAATGTAATTGGGATTTTCTGAGTGTGATATGCTCGGAAGGAAGCAGAGACTTAATACCCATAGGCTGGGTAGTTTGACTTGCCTCTTCACATGACTTTTGACAACACTGAGAAGTTCAACTGAAATTCAGACATTGCTTAAAGTCCCATGGAATGTGGATAAGTGGAGGGATTCACCCACACCCATTTTGCAGTTAATAGAATGATTAAATTGCCACAATCTTGTAAATGTGGGAGAAAAGATCTGGGGTTTGCTTTGATTGCAAGGCCCATCTTTAAAATTACAATATTAGAAAAAAGGTCACTAAAACTGTAATAGATTTTTAGAGGAAGGACTTCTTTTAACTGTACAGCAGTCACCGAATATGATATGCATGCTTTAGTGCTAGTTGTAAAGAGATGTAGAGAGAGAATAATCTTCAAAATTCTAGGGAGGAAATGCATGGACATTCATGGTGATTACATGAATTTAAAACAAGTATTATGTCTTATGACGCTATCAGATATATATTTGTAAACCTACAATGTCATGACAGGAGTGTACCTTAAATTTACATAGACTGATGGTGTCTTTCTGCCTATCCGGATAAAAGCCATCTGTGTGGCATCTGTGGATTACTAACAAATGTAGAAGCTTTAAGCAGATTCACAGCTCCTTTCGGGATATAATTTTAGTAGAAGGAATCGTATTGCCCTTTAAGTAAATGCTAACTATGCCCCCCTCCTTCCTAGTTTTACAAGTTGAAACTACTGCATGTCAACAACTTGTAGTAGTATTTGTAATACACAGAGAAGGAATGTTTGTTTGACAATTTTTGGTTGATAACTGGCTTCTTAAACTCTTCTCCAAGACACTGTGATATTGAGGGCAGGTAGAAACCACCTCTCCAAAAAATTACCTTTCCCTGTCCTCACTACCTCGGGTGGGGGGGAAGTTTTCTGGGATCCCAGATACTGTATTTCCCGTTTGTCACACCCTGTGTAGGTTAGAGATGACCAGATGGTGTAATATGATTACAGCACAGTGCTGTGACAAGTCATTCTCTTCTGATTGTCTGAATGAGTTTTACAAACCCAGTTACAATTACTCCTTTTCAAGTTTAAGCATGGTATTAAGAAATTCTAGGTATGCTGTGTTGTATGAAGTTTATTATCCTACTTCTTACTGCTTGTGATCATCAAGTTGTGTTACAGTCAGGACTTGGGCTGACTTGATGAGATTTAAACTATTGTTAATCTTGGCACATTCATTGTCAAATCACTCCCCTGTCCCCAAAACACAAACCAGTAATTCTAAGAACAGCTCCTTTCAGCTCTCTGGGTTTGAAATGTACTATTTTGGAAGTTTAATCTAAACTTATTCTTAAAAAGAAAGATGTCTTTGTTAATGAATCATGCATGTGTTTGAGGAACTATTACTGTAGATTTCTGTCAAAAAATACCCCAGGTGCCTTTCTAAGAATCAAGTTCTGGTATGTTATTACCATGACAGGTTTTTTTTTCCTTAAGTTCTTTGGGGTTTTTTTTGGTACTTGTTCTGACAGGCACTTGAATGCCTTGGTTTGATGACTGCTTCTTTAGTATTAATCAAGCTCTCTGCAATTTTAGTGTAAGTATCCTGGGGACATGTGTGTGTTTAGGGTTTTTTAGTTGGTTGGCTTTTAGGTTTCTATCTGCAGTGAGATGGCTCTGCCATTACAGTCACACATTTTAAATTGGGTCTCAGAAGATAATTTTTTGACAATCCACCTAGATCTTGTCCACCCCAGGAATTTCTTGCTTGGGACAGGAAGTGGCAAGAGACCAACTGGCGGAATTGCATCTAGCAGGCACTGGGTTGCTACAGGCTAATGGCAAGTCATCGAACCTGTTGATGAAGTAACTGCAAAAAATACCTGTGTACAGAGAATGGGCACAGAAGGAAGATCATTAAGTATCAGGTACCACAATTTTGGCTGTTCAGTGGTTCTCTTCCCTCCCACCCACAGACAGTCAGATTTTTGACAATAGATGTTGGGAAACAGCAATTTTTTTTTTCTTCCTACTGCATGTTTTCCCAACCAGCATTTGAGAGGAAGGGGGGGGGAAGAAAACCAAACCAGAATAAACAAAGCCTTCTTACTACTTTTACTACTTCTTTTTTGATAGCCTAGGGACATCCCTAAAGATTTTATTATTCTCTTATTTATTATTCTTATTTATTATTCTTACATATTTTATTATTCTTTTCTAATTATACGAAATACTGCTGCTGAGTTACACATTTTCCTACTCTAGGTGAATA